CTTTCGCGTGCGGTAAATAAGAAAGAATTGGGGTAAAAAAAATATCTATTGATCGTATCAAATATTAATTTTCAAACTCTTCGTAAGCTCGTTTTTATCCGAGAAATTCTCGAACAATCCTGTGGTTACCTTATTTTTCAGAGAAGCAGAGGGTTACCGGATGAGATTGCTGTAAGGGAAGCGGAAGCAAGAAGGAAAATTTTGAAGATATGTAGGATAGATAACAATTTAACCTGGATTTGAAGAGATTAAGACTGTAGTTGTTAGGGAAGCATCATATTGGGAGTCTGTTCCCGACAGTACGAGTAGAAAGGAATTTTTTTTAAAGGCAATTCTGTTTTTGATAGCCCTTGGGCCATGTAGTGGGTGAACTAAAGATTTTAAAAAATGTGTTCCAAGAAATAGGATCTGGAACTGAAATGAAAGCCTTGATATCACGTATTTTGAATCCATCATAAAAATTCAGGATATGGAATAAGTAACTACTAAACACTTCAAATACCTAAGTGTACGGATCAATTATAGCAAATTTAGTATAGGAGATAAGGGAACTGAATATAGAATAGGCTGAGCAAGGCGTAGTTTCATCACAAACCTCAATTTACTGTTGCTCAATTCATGGCGATAACCAGCGGACGCTCCTGGTGTGAAATATGTAAATTATGAAAATGATGGCGTCGATACTATAGTTAAAAGCTTTTTCTGAAAAATAAGGTTACCACAGCAAAGTTCGAGAATTTCTCGGATAAAAATGAGTTTACGAAGAGTTTGAAAATTAATATTTAATACGATCATTTTTTTTTTTTTTTACCCCAAGCAAGGCGGAAGTGCCACTAGCAAGTAAGGGGTTACAGAGGATTGAAAATAAGAGTAAAGAGGAAATATTTAGAGGAAAGGATACAGAGAAGAACGGAGAACAAGCTCAGGGTGTCAGATGTCGATTGACATTACACTTGAATATTTGAATATTATAGTCATCGTGGAAAGAAGTAATGGGAAGGGAGTTCCACAGACGGGAAGTGCGGGAGAAGAAGCTGTTTGAGAAGAGATGGTTACATTTAACCTTTTTTGACAGTGAAAGGGTGAAACTGAGATGCTAGCCTGGTAGCACGATTAAATTCATGAAGTCCGGGAACCAGCGACAGTAGCTCGTCGAAACAGTTGACGTGAAAATATTTCTAGAAGAGACAGAGGGAGGCCACAGCACGTCTGTGGGATAGCGATTGTAGACTAGATGCCAGATCATGACATATCATATCATATCAAATATTCGTCTCTGGATTTTGTCAAGGACCTCGAGACGTGATACGAAGAGAAATGGGGATGATTTGCCACCGTGAACATGGCATGATGGGTCCTAAATGTAAAGGTCTGAGTTGGTGGGATGAAAACAAAAAATATAACTCGTTAGAAGATGAATATACTATTGGTTTGCATCATCTAAGCCAAATCGTTTGCACAGTTCCAAGTGGATCACCGTTCTTACCCAGTCTAGTCTTGTACTGCATTTGAGCCAACTTTCTCGATGCTAGATCGAGTCATAAATAATTTCCGTTTTTGTTTATCAGTTTTATTCTTGCCATGGGTCCTTACCTATAACTACAGAATGAACTCTTCCTAACACTATGTATACTACGCCTCTCAAGAGAGAGTGACGATTCGAGTCGAGCTGATAGTAGTTTACTCCAAACCAGACTGACAGTCATACTAACACCTTCCACATCTTGTATTAATTCGTGTAATATACCTTCGTTATTTCTACTCTTGTGTTCGTGTTGTTCTTCCTTGGTCCTAACCTGGAACATAAAAATTCTTTAAAAAAACAAAAAAAAAACCCCAAAAAAACAGTACAATTACATTTTATTCAATTATATATTCACCATTATTTGGCATGACGACTTGCCACTTAGCAGGCAACTGTTCGATACCTTTTGAGCAAAAGTCCATAGTTTGTGATGTGAAAAAGTTTTCGATGAACCAGTGAATAGAGAAAGATTTCCACTTTAAAACGATTTGCAGCGATCGAAAAAAAGCAATAAACAATTGGTGCAAAATTCAGGTGAATATGGCGGATGGGTTAGCACAGTCCGACCGAGTTCCCGATTTTTTTCTTGTGTTATTCTCATTGTACGTAGTCTCATGTTGTCATAGAGGAGAACAATATTTTTCCTTTAATCCATTGTGTACGCTGCCATTACCGTGCAAAAGCTAAATTAAGTGCGTGTCAGAGTTATTCCTGATAGTCACGCATGATTAAACCAGCGTTTCGCAACTGGGGCGCCCGATCCCACTAATGCGCCCTGAATATTAGTCAGGTCTTACAGTTGAAATGACTAGATGTAACTGCAAGTTACATGATAACAGTTTTTTTCTCTTGCACTTTTTGCTTGTGGAACTCTTCTGCTTCCCAGCCAATTTTGATCTCCAAAAATTAAAGGCAATGTCAATCGTTATAATTTTGCCTTCTTAAATCCTGTTCATTTATTGTTCGCTCTCCTTAATAAAGTTTTACTTGTTTCTCACATTCTTTCACACCCAATAAACCATTGCGTCTTAGTGGCTTTATTGCCTTACTTGGGGGAAAAATGATTGAAAACAGAAATCTTCTGGGATTAAACGATTAAGACTTTTTCACATATTCCTTTTCTTATCATGGCTCCCTGGCAAAGTGGTGGTGGCGTTTATTGTCACCTTCGCTATGTTTTATTTTTATTTATTTATTTTTTTTTCAGAATTTAGAATTTCTTTCTAGACAGCACCAAAAGACAGAGAACCCAATCCATACTGCTATTTAATCTATTCACACATCGGAAATGGTTTCATGACTTTCTCGGGTTCATTAGTGCGAAAGTGAATGCAAAAGACGAGGCTGGAATTTGAACTCGGCTCGCTGATTCCGCGTTTCCCGTAACACTACCCGCACTCCCTGCACTAGCGAATAAAATACGAGAGTTGCTTGCTCACCATCGCGCTACAGTAGGCGCCCTCATTGTTGTTGTTACCTAGATTCGAATCTTACCGAAGGAAACCTCTAAGTTCAGCAGAATTTAGTATCGAAATCGATATTATTAAATAACAATTAACAATATTAAAAATAGCAATTAGATTTATAGATGTATTATTATTATTATTATTAGTGCATTATTATCATCGGCGGTGTTTACAGTTGCGGTGGTGGTGACTGTGCGTGTTTTGTTATTACTTGGACTGTTTTTAACAATATCACGTTGTTGATTGTACTATTTTCTAATGATGCAAAGCGAGACACAATGTCTACGATTGTTCAAGCAAATAGATCGATTTGATCAAGCCGGCTGGTCAGTGGAAAAGGAAGGCGAAAAAAAAAAGACGGCAGCGGAGGCGTATTGACCAATATACACTGACCGACATATGACGTCACGGACGGGGTGAATGAGTTGGGGAGGCTTTAAAGAAATCGGATCGGCTAAAGAAAGAGGGAAGATGCTGGAAGGGGTGGAGAATGGCCGGGAGGATGGATAGAACGAGGGATAGAGAACAATATGGAGATGGAAACGAAAGAAAAAGAAAATTGTGAATGTATGTGGGGAAAAAAAAATGGGAGAAAAATGAAAGATAAACAGGAAGAAAAGTTGAGGAAAGAAAAAAAAGACAAAAATTAGGCTGAAGAAAAAAAAAGCATGATAAAGAAACAAAAAGCATATAAAAATGAAAGAAGGGATGAATGAAAAAAAATAGAAAAGAATAAAGCGTAGAAAAGAAAGAAAACCTGAGAAATAGATAACCAAAAAACGAAAGAAAGAAAGAAAGAAAGAAAGAAAGAAAGAAAGAAAGAAAGAAAGAAGACAAAAACGTGACAGCGGGGAAAAGAAAGAAACAAAGAAAGAAAGAAAGAAAGAAAGAAAGAAAGAAAGAAAGGGTAAAAAGAATATTAAAAATTGAAAATGTTGAAGAGAAAGAAAGGCAAATACATGAAAGTATGGTAAAGAAAGAAATTAAAAAAGGAAACAAACAATAAAAAGAGTTAAATAAATAAATCGTTTTTACGATTTATTTATTTAACTCTTAAAAGAGAAAGGAAGAAACGTAAAAATTGAAAAGCCTGTTAAAAAGGCATTTAGAATTGAGAAAGAAAGAAAAATAGAAAGGTAAAAATTAAAGGAAGGGTAAAAAAATATTCAAAATTGAAAATGTTGTCAAGAAAGGAAAAAATGAAAGAAAAATAAGCGGATAAAGAAAGAAAGAAAGAAAGAAAGAAAGAAAGAAAGAAAGAAAGAAAGAAAAGAAAAAGAAATCAATGAAAACAGAAAGAAAGATAGAAAGGCAAAAAAGGAAAGGAAAGGTAAAAAAAAATATTCAGAATTGAAAATGTTGTCCAGAAAGAAAAAAGAAAGAAAATAAATGGATGAAGAAAGAAAAAGAAAGAAAGAAAAGAAAAATAAATGGATGAAAAGGAAAGAAAGAAAGATAGAAAGGCAAAAAATGTAACAAAGTGTAAAACCTATTCAAAATTGCAAATGTTGTCGAGAAAGAAAAAAAGAAAGAAAAATAAATGGATGAAGAAAGAAAGAAAAATAAATAGATGAAAAAAGAAAGAAAGAAAGATAGAAAGGCAAAAAATAAAAGAAAAGGTGAAAAATATTCAAAATTGAAAATGTTGTCGAGAAAGAAAAAAGAAAAATAAGTATAGAAAGAAAGAAAGAAATGAATGAAAAAGAAAGATTAAAAGGCCAAAAATGAAAGAAAAGGAAAAAACATATTCAAAACTAAAACTGTAGTCGAGAAAGTAAAAAAGAAAAAATAGAAATGGATCGAGAAATAAAGAAAGAAAGAAAAGTAAGACAGGAAGAAAAAAGAAAAATAAATGAATGAAAAAGAAAAAAAAGATAGAAAAGCAAAAATAAAAGAAAGGGTGAAAAATATTCAAAATTGAAAAGGTCGAGAAAGAAAAAAAAGTGGGGAAAGAAAGAAAGAAAGAAAGAAAGAAAGAAAGAAAGAAAGAAAGAAAGTAAGTCAGAAAATGAAAGAAAAGGTAAAACATATTCGAAACAGAAAATGTCGTCGGGAAAGAAAAAACGATAAATAAATGGAGAAAGAAAGAAAGAAAGAAAGAAAGAAAGAAAGAAAGAAAGAAAGAAGGAAAGAAAGACAAATAAATGAATGAAAACAGAAAGAAAGAAAGAAAGAAAGAAAGAAAGAAAGAAAGAAAGAAAGAAAGAAAATGAAAGAAAAGGTAAGACATATTCGGAACAGAAAATGTCGTCGGGAAAGAAAAAAAGATAAATAAATGGATAAAGAAATAAAGAAAGAAAGGAAAGAAAAGAAAAAGGAAAGAAAGACAAATAAATGAATGAAAACAGAACGAAAGAAAGAAAGTCAGAAAATGAAAGAAAATGTAAAACATATTCGAAACAGAAAATGTCGAGAAAGAAAAAACGATAAATAAATAAAGAAAGAAAGAATGAAAGAAAGAAAGAAAGAAAGAAAGAAAGAAAGAAAAGAAAAGAGGAAAGAAAGACAAATAAATGAATGAAAACAGAAAGAAAGAAAGAAAGAAAGAAAGAAAGAAAGAAAGAAAGAAAGTCCAAAAATGAAAGAAAAGGTAAAACATATTCGGAACAGAAAGTGTCGTCGGGAAAGAAAAAAAGATAAATAAATGGAGAAAGAAAGAAAGAAAGAAAGAAAGAAAGAAAGGAAAGAAAAGAAAAAAGGAAAGAAAGACAAATAAATGAATGAAAACAGAAAGAAAGAAAGAAAGAAAGAAAGAAAGAAAGAAAGGCAAAAAATGAAAAAGTAAAAAATATTCAAAATTGAAAATGTAGAGAAAGAAAAATAGAAAAATAAATGGATGCAGAAAGAAAAAGAAATAAATAAAAGAAAACTAAGTGGATGAAAAAAGAAAGAAAGAGTGGTAAACAATGAAAGACACATGATAAGAAGGGAAAGAAAGAACGTAGAGTTTAAGAAGGAGAACCTTAAAGAGAACCGAAAAGAAAGAAGTTGAAATAAAAAATGATGAAAGGGAATTTAAAGATAAAACTCATAGGGAAAAAGATAAGGAAAGATAAGGAAATAAATCTAGATCAGCAAAAGAAAGAAAGAAAGAAAAGAAACGACAATAAAATAATGAAGAGGAAAGCAAAGAAAAAAGTAAACTAAAAATAATCACGTAGAAATATAAATAAGTACTACTATAAGTCACATTTTTATGACTAATAATAATAATAATGCTACTAATACTACTAACAATGATGAAAATAAAAAAAAGAATAATAAAAATGACGGATTAGGATTAATGGTGCAAATACATTGACAACAACAACAACAATAATAATAATGTAAGAAATGGCAGCTAGATCGACATAGACATGGCTACGCAGATGAAATCTTCAAAGCGAAACTTTTCATTTCGGCCCAAAACAATGTAATAAAACCTCATGGGATGAAGGTCAAGAATGATAAAACCGTAAATACAGAGTGCTGGCAAATAATAAGACACCCAAACACAATATCTTCCTTTTCTATGCGGCATGTCCTTCAAGACGTTGACGATCATGGCTCTCCACAATTGCTTGTCTTTGTATCTCTTAATAATGTTTGTCTTTTTGTCACTTATCCCAAACTCTGCCCTGCTGTCCGTGTTGTAGAGTAGTTTTCACAGTGGAGGCTTGTATTTCACTAAGTCGTCCTAAATTAGGTTCGACGTACAAAACGTTAGGAACTTGAAATAAGAGTTAATGACGCAGTAATCTAGTTGTGATGGTTGATACTTCAATGTCCGACATCGACTGACTCACTCAACACCACTGAGCCCCACTGGCGACTGCTACTACTACTTATTGTCTGTGGGAGAGTCTATTATAATAGAATAGGTATTATGGTATAACAACCAGTAAGGTTTTGCGTTTCATCCCCCCCTCTTAAATTCAATCTGTTCTGTGAGTGTCAAATTTTCCAAGCCCTTTTTTCCCATTATGTGGTCCGGAGATGTCAATTGTCACATCCCGATGTTAGGCATAAGTGTCCTTTTTGGTGCTATTGTCTCTAGAACTTTGTTGGCGCTCATATGTTAAGTTACTCGTACTCTCAGCATCCTTCTGTAGAACCACGGTTCTGCTACTTCAGGTATCTTCTTCATCTGTGAGAAGAGTGTCTAGCATTCACTGCCATGCAGGAGGGCTGATACTACACAACAGTTCAGTATCTTTTCTTTGGTTCTAATAATATTTTTCTGTTTTTTAATACTTTGCTTAGCTTTTGGAAGGCATCTTTCGCTATCCCAATGCGACTTCGTATTTGCGTGTCGCGCTTTTCCGGCCTCTGTTAATACGCTTCTCAGACATCAAAATTTTTGCACCTGTTTCATTTCGGTATCTCCAGTCTATAATTTGCATGTTGGGTATCTTTTATTGTTCTCGCTCCTTAATATCTTTTTTTATTTTTCTCATTCGTTCGCACTTAATAACCCATCGTGTCATAGTGGCTTTATTGTCTTGTTTTGGGTGAAATTATTAAAAAAAAAGGCAGGTAGGAGTTGAAAATATAAACCAATGGTAAATGTGTGCACAATCCAGATTAAAAAATACAAAAAATAAATAATTGTTAAAAAAACAGAATAAAAAACCCCCAAAAAACAAGTCTTCAAGTGGACCGTCAATATTATCGAAAAAGACGAGAGAGAGAGAGAGAGAGAGAGAGAGAGAGAGAGAGATGGCAAAGAGGAGGAACTCTAGCCTGCTGAAAAGCCCGGATGAAAATGGAAATTCATCATCATCATCATCATCATCATCATTAGTCCCATGACCGTGTGTAATTCTGCTGGTAATGTTCAAGATTCGCAGACATGCTGAAAGACTGAAAATACCAAATCATGCAACAGTCTGAACTTTGATGACTGGCTGCCATTTTTTTTGCCCCGCCGTTGAGACTATTTTTATTCTCTAGACCTCTTTGCTGATAATCGAAACAATATATTTGAATTGGCTCCTTACTTCAAGTTCCTGACTACGGACTTTCGTCTTGGCTGAAAACTCCTAACTTTGAATTTCTCGACATTAATCCTCCTTAGACAAGAAACGAGCTCGTTGGAAGACCTCATATCTACCATTCGCAGAACAGAAACTCATTACCGTTACACCCACCAAATTGATCACAATAGATTAGCGTTTATAAATATGCATTCGAATTAAGCATTACTGCCAATTAAATTTAATGTTTAACCTGCAGTGTCTTGTTTTGGAGGGGAAACTAACAACTTCCGGTTATCTGTGTGAATTTCAAGAGAAAATGGCTGCTTTTGCAATTTTTCTCAATTTAAACTTCCGTTATGGTAATTATTTTGATTCTTTATGACGGCGTTAATCGCAAATACAGAAAGTGAGAGAGAAAAAGAAAGATGGAAGCGAGTGCATATTTTTAAAAGTGGATGGAGAAAAAGTGGGAGGGAATAAGAAGAGAAAGGAATATAGGCAGTAAGAGAGAGGAGATAAATTCATGAGGAGAAGAAAAGAAAAAGAGGATGATGATGATGAAGAAGAAGAAGAAGAAGAAGAAGAAGAAGAAGAAGAAAAAGAAGAAGAAGAAGAAGAAGAAGAAGTTTTTTTTTAATGGAACGAATGTATTAAGTGAAAAGAGAAGAAGATAGAAAAATGGAGAAAAGGAAAGACAAGTCACGGAGAAGGAAGGCAAAAATAGAAGATTGAAGGCGAGGGACGTTGTAAGAAAAACAAATAAATGTTAAGAGAGAGGAAGACAGAGAGGCAAAGAGGAAACAGGAGAGATGTATAACGAGAGGAAGAGGAAGAGGAAATATGCGATAAGGAATGAAAAGAAAAACTAAAAGCCATGCAATGGCGGGAGGAAGACGAAAATGATGAAGAAGCTGAAAAATATGAAGAACGAAAAGCAAGGGGATAAAAAAGAGAAAAAGATGGACGAAAAAGTGAAAGAAAGAAAGAGAGTATGAAAGAAGGAAAGAAAAAAGAAAGAAAGAAGGAAAGAAAAAAGAAAGAAGAAAGAAGGAAAGAAAGAAGGAAAGAGAGTATGAAAGAAAGAAAGAAGGAAAGAAAGAAAGAAAGAAGGAAAGAGATAAAGAAAGAAACAAACAAACAAAGAGACAAACAAGGAGGGGCAAAAAGAAAATAGAAAAAGCAACAAGAGAGACGAATAAAGAGGCAAATAAGAAAGACCAATAAGAAAGTAAAAAGAAAATTGAAATCACTTTTACAAAGATATTAAATTGAAAGGTAAAACTCGTCCATTCATCAGTGGTCATAGGGAAGCAAACGTTATTGTCATCCGGGTCTTTTTAATTTGTTCACGGAATCTTTAATGAATGATTACTATCAATTACGTAACGTCGTCCCTTTTTTAAAATAATTATTACCAAATTATTTCACTTCGCTCAGAAAATAATGAATTTAATAATATGGATCCATCACGATTTTATGTTGTAGTCGTCGAATTTTCCCACTTGTGACTATCTGATGGCTTTCGCTGGGGAACAAGTGACAGCAAGTTTCTTCACGTTCGTTGCTGACTTCAGCAATGCAGTCATCTAGACGTTTCTGATTCGTCTAAGAAGTTCCAATACTTTCATCCCAATTCACAAGATCCTTCATAATTGTCCGTTGCCACTTATACAGCGACAAAACTAACGCCATTTTTATTTATTAACTTTTATTGAACAAAAATAAATTACAGTAGCTTAAGAAAATTTATAAGTATTGCCACATCAAAACAATATGATTTGTTATAATTAACGAGCTATTTAACATGTTCCAAATGCTTCCCTACCCCATGTTCTGTCCAACGCTAAAATCTATCAGCAACACTTCTACAAACCATTTGACACGTTTCGATTATTATTTTTTTTTAAATTATCAGAAATTGTTTATTTTAATTCAGGGATGGTTTTCAGTTAGAGCTTGTAAGAAAATCTTTCGGTGCACCCCACAAGAAAAAGTCTGGTGATGTTACGTCTGGTGATGTTACGTCTGGTGATCGTGATGGCTACTCAATTGCACCACGTCGTCCTATCTGCCTTACTTTTGCCGGACCCTATATTACAATTTATTATTATGCTTGTATGTACGGTTTTTACACATTTCTGTATTGTATCAGAGTGTAGTACTGTCTGATATTCGACTCTTCTGTGCTCGAACCAGTTAAGCTTTCTGACCGGGAAACATTTTAATATTAAGCGGGAAAATGTGTGAGATCGATCGATTTGATTTTTTTTTGTTATTTTTTTGTTTTGTTTTTTACTTATTAAACTTTTGTCATTTATTTAAAGTCAATTTTTTTAGATTGATTTACTGATGTAAGTCCCACTAATTAACCCACAGTTGGGGGGTGGAGAAGTGGGGGTTGATATCTTTCCCAAGGGTATTTGCTCGGAAGTGAATATAACGAACCCAACTGGAATTGAAACTCGGTTGTCTGATTTCCAATCTTTAGCCGTCCTTCCCCGAGAGTGAAACCAACAAAGTTAATCGATTACGTACTTAGCAAGCGACTAAATTTTGACTATACACATCAGGTACTAAAAGAAAATGAAACATAAAATCCTCTGGGAATTTGGGATTCCAACGGGTCACCCCATTCAGGTCAGAAGAGCAAATCATTTTTCCGTGACGGATCCTGAATTTTTCTTGTTTCTGCAGATCATGGAAAATATTTGAAAGGGCGCGAAAAGCTAGTTAATTATCCCAGATTTGCCAGAAATATGTAGAAATTGTGAAACTTGAAAACGACAGTTGTACCGGTTGTTATCGGAGCTCTAGGAACAATCCCGAATAACTTAGGCAAATGACTGGAAGAACTACATACTAGCGGGGACATATGAAACCATTCACACGACGGAGCTCTTAGAATTACTTAGAATACTGAGGAGAGTCCTGGAGTATTAAGAAGGCATTCTATCACTTGAACTCAAGCAAAAAAATACTAGTTACAACTGAGATGAGAAAATCTGAGTGGAAGCAATAAATAATTATTACTCTAAAGCAATGTTTCAACCTTTTTCTATCATCTCAATGCACACTCCAGACTATAGCTAAATTTCCGCTTAAACTTAAATTATGTTGATCAAAAAATGTGTAAAATGAGTATACATTTTATGACTGATTTATTAACACGAACAAAATAATTTATTATAAACTATAATAAAAAGATAATAAAAAAAATCATATTTATTTATTTTTGAGCTCTGATGGAAACTTAAACTCAACCCACACCTAATGTAGAAATAAACTCTTTTATTTCTTTTTACAACCCTTGATATTCAATTTACAATGTAAATATGGATCTGCAGGTGAAATAATGAATCGTGGTTACGAAGACTCAAAAAATACCCTTAGGGCAGTTATGAATCCATCTCCCCCAGCTTGGGGTTAAATAGTAGAACTTATATCAAGAAAAAATCATTTTTATTCACAAAAAAATTGTTAATGCAATATTCACTTGCAAAGAAGGAATTATTCTTGTAATACAAAATATCTTTTAGCTTTAAATAACTCACAAAGTTTTGATAAACTGTAAAATAAAACATATCTATCAATACAATATTAGGGCTTAAACTCAACCTAGACCTAAAGTGAACCTTGTACATACAATGCATCAGTAAAAGATGCTGGAAAAATCGTCAGTTCTCTGAGCCACTCCAGTAAGTAATTTATAGAGAAGGCATCAAAACAATTACCATGAAAGTATTTACAGAAAAGGCACTAGAACAATTCCCATGAAAGTATTCAAAGAAAAGGCACAGGGAATCTCAATTACCCCAGTGGGAAAATAACTGAAGCCGACATGCCAGGTCAGGACTAATAATATTGCAGATTCTTCTTTGGATTTTGTCAAGGATTTCTAAATATATAGCAGGAGCAACAGACCATATGTGGTAACAATTTTTGATGCATGGACGAATTCTAGACTAACAAACGAATGTTAGACATGAATATATAGAATAGATTCTGACGAGAAAAAATTGTCTAGCACGATACAGTGAGTCAACTTTCCTAGCAACAGATCTAGCAATTGATTCAATATAATCTTTCTACTCCATGTCAGTGGTAAACTTCATCGCGGAAAGGTGCAATGAATAACTCTGAGAGTCAGCCCTGTTGACGGAAAACGAAAAGGGCTCTCTCAGACGATTCATAGAGAACAGTCTGGTTTTTGAGGCGTTAAAATTAACAAGCCAGTTGATAATAGACTCGGAGTCATCTTAGAGATCAATATACGCATAGAATTAATTTAAAGGGGTTTTCGTTTTTATATGTACACTTATTGTGCTTTCAACTTTAATAATTAATTAATTATTAATTAATTTAATTTATGACCTTTAATGATGTCCGCGTGACACTAACAATCCTCTCGCGACACACCTTCGATCCACTCGCGGTACACCAGTGTGCGTAGACACACCAACAATCCTCTCGGCGACACACCTTCGATCTTCTCGCAGTACACAAATGTGCGGTGACAGCCCAACAATCCTCTCGGCGACACACCTTCAATCCTCTCGCGGTACACCATTGTTCGGTGACACACCAACAATCCTCTCGGCGACACACCTTCGATCCTCTCGCGGGGCGCTAATTTGCGGTGTCACACCAATAATGCTCTCGGCGACACACCTTCGGTCCTCCCGCGGTACACCAGTGTGCGGTGACACACCAACAATACTCTCGACGACACACCTTCGATCCTCTCGCGATACACCAGTGTGCGGTGGCACACTAACACTCGACGACAATCGATCCTCTCGCGACGCAGTGTGCGGTGACACCAACAACCTCTCGACGACATACCTTCGCGATACACCAGTGTGCGGTGACACACCAACAATCCTCTCGACGACATACCTTCGATTCTCTCGCGGTACACCCGTGGCACCAACAGGGTGACGACATACCTTCGATCCTCTCGCGAACAAGTGTGCTCTCGACGACATACCTTCGATCCTCTCGCGATACACCAGTGTGCGGTGGATCCTCGACGACATACCTTCGATCCTCTCGCGATACACCAGTGTGCGGTGGCACACCAACAATACTCTCGACGACATACCTTCGATCCTCGCGATACACCAGTGTGCGGTGGCACACCAACAATACTCTCGACGACATACCTTCGATCCTCACGCGATACCACCACTCTCGACGACATACCTTCGATCCTCACGCGATACACCAGTGTGCGGTGGCACACCAACAATCATCTCGCGCCACACCAGCGCGTGGTGGCACACCTACGATCCTCTCATGGCACACCGGTTGAAAATCACTGCTCTAAAGATATGATCTTCATTTCAGTCAATCTGCACGTAAAATGTCATAATTTTGAGTGTTGATTGAGTAATTTTTTTTAGGCTGGTCTTTCTCACTTGAATGGCTGAGGAAAAGCAATAATTATGTCCCTTGCCTCTCTATTTCGCCTTGTCTCACACTATGATGAAAACATATTTTTATCAACTGATCAACGGATATACACGTTTATTTTGCAACCCAACTCTCCTTCCCACATGATTTCTATTGACAGGTGCTGTTGTCTGAATTTGGTGCAAACTGGAAGCGTCAGGAAAGGAAAGCCGTTTTGAAATCATCCTTGTGCGCTTGACACACAAAAACGCCATTGTGAAGGCGAAAGCACATTAAGCGAGCACCTGCTGCGCCCTGAGCTGAAGAGAGATAGAATCTGATTGTTGTCATTTTAATTATTGATGTCTGCCTTCTGTTTTCGTTGCATGTTTTGCATCTACTGCCCTCCAGAACGCTTCACAAAGGCCATGTTGAAAGACACATCTTTAATTACACAATATGCAATATGAGGCAAAATAAAATATTCAAAATGGCAATTCACAAAATAGGAACACAGTGTAAGCGCAAGAAGTAAATAAGATCTATCTATCTATCTATCTATCTATCTATCTATTTCAGCCTTTTATCTATCTATCTATCTATCTATCTATCTATCTATCTATCTATCTAACACCCTTGATCAAACGAAATATTCTTATCCAAGTACGCTGAGTAATGTAGTTTCAGAATATATATGGTTATGGGGTCTATCTCCAAAACCATAGAAGTTCAATAACAAACAGACAGACAGAGGCTACAACTTTATATATATAGATATTGTACTAGTGTTCACCCAATACCAGACTCACGGGCCACTCAACGTAGCAATTTCCCAAGCGTAGCTTAGATGTGGCACAAGGCCGAAAGTATGGGGCATCTAATGAGGATCGAACTCACTTTTCAGTTCTAACTGATCTAGCGAGACAAGCTTGTTAACCATGACATCCCGCCGAGGTGCCCCAGCCACTCAACGTATATAGAATAGGTTGGCTTTAGACTTGAAGTGGTTAAAATTGAGATTGCGAAAGCATACTCTCGAGAGTTTGTTCCCCAATACAGAGGGTCTTGAGATGAAGCAGAAGGGGAGAAATTCCTTTTTACCAACGGAATCTGGAAGGAATGAGGAGGATTCGAACCTGTGTATGGGGCATAGTGGGGTTTAGCTGCGAAGATTTGAATTGTTGGAATTAAGCAATTTCACTCGTCAGAAAATCTCCCATGGCAAAGGGTGATGTTGCGTCTGTGGGGAAAGAGGTTGTAAGACAGAAAGGGATTCATCGCCCACGAGGCGGCGTAGTCGCTTTTGAACTCTGTCGAGGCTGGAAAGTAAAAATTGCCCGCCCAGGTATACCATCATTACTTCATTTTCGGCCCGATCTGACGCTTGTAAAACTAGAGCCTGACAGGTGGAGTCAGGTACTTTTCTGATGTTGTATAAGGACCCAACCATTTTCCCATCGTTTTCAGCGTCGGTCGTATATATGAACTCCACAAGGTACGGGGTGAACTTGAGTCCCAAGAGACGCTCAAAGCAAAGAGCCACTTTGTGAGTGCAATCATTCATCATGACTGGAGAGAATGTAGGGTTTGCTCGCTAATTATGAAACGTTACTCTCTTGGTTTTTGAGGTATTCAATGCTTCAAGCCAGTTTTTACTCATTGATCTGTTAGGGAGAGATCAGAAGAGGCTCTGATCATCTAGACATTTTGGTGGGTGGAGGTGCAACTATGTTACCATTTTCGTCCCGGGTATGACGATAAACTACATCTGGCAGCAAGGTTTCTGATAGGGAGGTTTTTAGCAGCATGGGACCACCTCTTAATTGTTATTGTTCCCAGGTCTACCCTAACTCAGGGTGGTAACACCTGTTAGGGTCCCAGCTATGGGCAAATAGTGAACGCCCAAACTGTGGTCAAAACACTATGAGAGTATAAAAAATACATTTTTGATAGTAAAAAGACCAAAGCAGTGCGTCCACAGAAAGAGCGAAATCCATTTGTCGGTCAGAAAGTTGTTTCTGCTGAGGAGAACACAGACTTAAAGAGTTTGCTGATGGCCACTATTTACATTATTCGGATTAATGTCCTCATCAGGTGGTTGGGATGTCGAACTGAACCCTTTATTTCGCTCACTGGGGTAGACTGTTCTAGTTCCACGTGCCATGTTTAATGGATGTCAGTTATCAGTTATCTCCTGTTAATTCCCCTCTCCAAATTCTCCACTGCCTTAACCGGGTATTGAACTCACACTCTTTGGGTCTTGTCACTGGATCTAACTAACGCCTTTATCCACTGTGCTATGTGTCCTTGAGGACAGTGAGTGAAATAAAGGGTTCACTTCGACATTCCAACCACCTGAAGAAGGCCGGAGCGTAAAACGGCCGAAACGTTGTAATAAACATGTCGAGAAAGATGAGGACAATAGCCCGAATAATGTAAACAGTGTACATGATGCCTCATCTCAGAAATATAGACAGATACTGAATCGAAACAGGGTGAGCAATAAAAACGATCTGAAGAAGGCCGGAGCGTACAACAGCCGAAACGTTGTAGTAAATATGGCGACAAAGATGAGGAAAATAGTCGGAATAATATAGTGTACATGATGCCTCATCTCAGAAATATAGACAGATACTTTGCTGATGGCACTAAGGAGGTGGGTGGGTTGATATTGAAACGAGGATGAGCGTTTACTCGCCTTCTTAAAAACAGAGCTAACAGCTGGCACATTCCACAAACTTTGTAAAAATTCATCTTTCAGATAGCAGCTAAGCAACTTTATCAAGAAAGGAAATAACTCTGGGCTAAAGCTCTTGGGAACAACGACAAAAATTTTATCCAGAACAGTAGCCTTTCTAGAGTCACGACCTTTGATGAGTCTGCGATTCTCTTATAAGTGGTAAAGATATCACAAAAATTTGTGTTTAGCAAGAGGGAAGAAGTCAGGTAAGACAGGGTCATCGTCGTCAAACGTGGAGTTAGAAGCAAACTTTGCTTCATCCATCTCGGATAGGATAACCTCATGAGCATTTTAATAGTAATCAGTGACAGATTATCTCTATTGAAAATAATTTTTTGATACACTCTTGTGCTAATTGAAACAAAACGAATAATTCCGTTATTATTTACATTTTTCGTATGTTTCCAATGAAACATGGCCCAGTGCACATGTTAATACTTCGCATGTCCATTCTACGAATTTGTTCCTTGCAGATGGACAACAGATTCTCGATTGGATTTAAATCAGGAGAGTTTCCGGGCCAGTCTATAGTACTTTGATTCGCTCATTGGTAAAGCTTGCCAGTGTGTTTGTGCAGCGTTACAATTTTTGTACGCTTCCTTGGAGTAACGTCCATCGCAGACAATGGCCGTAGGACAACTAATCGACAGTCGAGACAATAGGGTCTAAACATCACATGGTGAAAAAAAGTAAACTAAAGCGGTTGTTTCAATTAATTTGCACAAGGGTGTATCTCCCAGAATTCTTTACGGCTATATCACGTTGAAACCGGTTGTCTCCCGATCACCGAAGTTAAGAAACGTTGATCCTGGTCAGTACTCAGATGGGTGACAACTAACAAAAGACTTTGTGATATAATGTAATATCCATACACCTGTGTTCCCCCTCACTGGAATGTGATTGGCTGGTGTCCGTCATAAATATCGACGGACGTGTAGGGGAGTCAGAAGAGCCTTAGTCTGAAAGGTAAGTCTATAACGACGCCCATTGGACTACGACGTTGATCTACACTTCTTACTTGCGACTACGACGCGTACCAGTCGATTACTGCCTCTGTATTCTACTTGGTTATAGTAGCCAAAACCATTTAGCTACTTCGTTCAAATATATTCCTTTTCTGGGAAATATCAAAGGAGAAATGAAAAAATGTTCAAAAGAAGAAAAAACTAACGAAAGAAGAAAAATCGAAAGAAAGAAAAATGAAGGAGAAATAAAAATTAGATAAAAGAAAATAAATTAAATATTGAAAACAAACGAAGAAGAAAGAAAATACGTAGCAGAAGGATATTTTTTTTTATATTCGACGTCAGTCGAAATCATCGAGGCGACAATAGTCTAAATGGCTTTATTGCATTGCTTGGAGTGAAATGATTATAAAAATTTATAAAAAAATCCACGAAAATTTAAAATAAAGGATGATATAATGGAATATGCGTACACCTATGTTCCCCCTCACTGGAATATGATTGGCTGGTGTCCGTCATAAATACCGACGGACGTGTAGGAGAGTCAAAGAGCCTTAGTCTGAGAGCTAAGTCTATAACAACGCCCATTTGACTACGCCATTGATCTTCACTGCTTACCTGCGACTACGACGCGTACCAGTCGATTACTGCTACCTTATTCTACTTGGTTATAGTAGCCAAAACCACTTAGCTACTTCGTTCAAATATTTCCCTTTCTGGGACATATGACTTTGTTATGCGGGTGTGCTTCTAGACTGATAGGTCGGAAGACCTATCTGAACTTGGGTATGAGATCTTTCAGAATTAAAGTCTTTTTCTGTCTATATTTCTGAGATTAGGTATTGTAATTATTTATACTATTTACATTGTTCAGACTGTTGTCCTCATCTTTGTTGCCATATTTACGACGATTGGAATTTCAAACTGATCTCTTTATTTCGTCCACTGGGGTAAATGGTTTTAGTTCCAACTAGAATCAACTCTCCAAGTTTTTCCACGTTTAAGGTACGGAACTCACAACCTTTTGTGTTAAGTCACCGGATCCAACCAACGTTTTCATCCATCGTACATGAATTTTGGGGATTTACAAACTTAGTTTCAGCAAACATTTTTTTTTTACCAAAGCTCATATTGCAGTTTTGTTGTTATTATTACTTTTCTCTAGCACTCCGTATTACTGGTTTCCATATTGTATTCATTTCTAACCTTGACCGGAAGACCCTTATTCCAACCACCCATTATATTAAATATTCAGGAAATTTCCTCTCACCTTTTAATTTGGAGAAAAGTGCTTCGATATTGAAAATTATAAAGAAATCATTTAAAATATCCCTGCTACCTCTTATATTCCAGCGACCTTTCTATTTGCAATTATAATCTATTAAAATAAATTAAAATAAAGTCATGGCAAGCTTAGATATTAAATACAAATTGACAAATGTCTGTCTATATTTCTGAAATAAGATATTGTAATTATTTACACTATTTACATTGTTCGAAATGTTGTCCTCATCTTTGTTTCACTATGTATATGGCAATTTCTTATCTCTCTATCTTCAAGCTATCTACCCCGGCGAACGAAATAAAAGTTTCGGTTCGAAATCACCTGAAGAAGGCCGGAGCGTACAACGACCGAAACGTCTTAAATATTGAAAAAAAAAAAAAAAAAACCAGGACAAAAGTTCGAACAATGTAAATAGTGTAAACAATTGACAAGTGTTTATATTTTCTAAGGTATCACTTCATAAAATGAAAGAAAAATCCCTCTCCTTAATGATCAACGAAGTTGTAAAAAAAATGTGAGTGTTGCACAAAACAGTTTTGGTTTTTTATCACGTTTAATAATAGTTTTACAAATAAAAATTCAACCTGTGAGTTTTCGCCTGTCACACATTTAGAATTCTTAGACTACTGCTCATTAATATT